CTAATGATGTAATGTATGGTGACTAACATAACATAATAAAATAAAATTTTAAAAAAATAAAAAAAAAAGACTCCAGGTTGGTATTTTAAACCAGTGCTTCTTGATCTTTAATATGTATACAAATTAACCAGGAATCTTGCTAAAATGCAGATTCTGATTCAGTGGGACTGGAGTGGGCCATGAGATTCTAGTCTGCCTTCTATTTTTAACTTCTAGGTGATGCTGTTGCTGCTGGTTTGAGGACCACACTTTAAGAAAGAAGATCCAAAGATACTAAGGATATTGTGACTCTTAACTAGTGGCCATTTGTGGGGTGCAGATGTATCATACTTTTATAAAATAAAACATGTTCCTGAAATCTGTGTGTAAATAAGATGCCATTTGAAATGCATAGAGGGCCCAGAGACCATATAGACTATACTTTCTGGGTTGGTCACAACTTTAAATGGTCTATTATGTTGTCAAGTCTGTGTATCTTGATTCTTGATCAGAAAATCTGATCTCTATAATCAGAAACTTGCTATTCAGTAAGGAGTTAACAAGGAAAAGAAAACCTTTCTACTGCAAGAAAAATAAAAGTTCTCTTTCATTATACTTTCCAAATTTATTTGTCTCATTGAGAACAGATTTTTATTGAACCTCTTTAAAGTGGGAGCACCTCTGTAACTGTCTGATGCCTACATAGCAGGGATCCGCTAACAGCAGAGGAAAGAAAAAGCAAATGTACCTCTAGTTCTCCATAACGAAAAGAGAAATACATTCTTTGGAGGGAGGATAATTGGGTATCTGTATCATCAAGTAGGAGGACAAGGAAAGAGAAAACTACACAAATAAGTAATAAAACCCTAAAATAAGGGAAGAAGTAGATCAAATGGCAATTCAGATCATTAGGGGAGTGAGGGAAGTTGGAGTGAATATTGACTGTGTTCACACATGGCTTAACTGAAGGAAGTTGGAGAAGGTGGGATAGAGACATAGAACCCTGTGCAGAGCCCCTGTTCTTACTTGGCAACAAGGTAGACCCCGTGATGATGAAACAGCGCTTGGTTAAACTGGTTCCAGCAATTCTTTTCGTTTAGAGCAATATCCACCTGTTGCAGTCCAGAACAATTCAGCAGAACTCTCAGGGCGTCCCTGGCATAGCTAAGGTCCCAAAGAAGAACAGAGTCACCACTTGACAGTGGCCTTCATGTAACTAAGTACATGTGACCTGCCTTTTCATTCCAACCTGGGCAGGATGCTGGTTTTGGGAAAGGGGATGTTTCAAAGGAAAACCACTTTCAATGCTCTTCATCTTCCCTGATCAACAGTACATGGGATTTAGGGTTCAACTGACATGGTAGCATGTAAAATCTAGGATTAGTCATGGAGCAGCGTATTAGTTTATTAGCTTAACAGCTTATTAACAAAAGATGTTAAATGATGTGATAATTTGCTAAAAGTGCCCGCTGCTTTCCTTTTTCAGATGCTTTAAATAAATAGTTATATTCTCATCTGTGTGGGATGATTTGGTGCATGTCTGCTTGAAAGACAGAGAATGGGTTAAATATCTTAATGGAATGGATTGTGTCTTGGAGTTCTGCCCGGTTTAGAAGTCCACCCCTGATGAGGGCAAAGAGCAGGCAGTGGGTCCAGATTTCCCCAGAGGGCAGCAAAACTAACTGAATCTCACCTTATGTGGGCAGAATGACTGTGTGCCATCTTAAGGCCACACATCACATCACCAAACACAAAACAACTTCACAGTTCACAGAGCACATTTACACACATTATTTTAATCTCTCACGTACAATTACCCTGAGAAATCACTATCAGAGAGTAAATGGCAGAGCTAGCATGTGTCTGGCTTTGGATCTAATGCTCCTGCCTGCTCTCTCTCCCCTTGGTAGCCTCCCACTCTGGCAAGAATAAACCATGTTCTGTGGCAGTGGTTCTTCGTACACACTGCACATGCTCAGGGAAGGTCCTAGCTAACTTCTAGGTACTTAGGGATTCTAAAGACATTCTCCCTTCAGAGGAAAGAAAACTGTAATAAATGAATGCATTGCTTATGATTATAAAGAGTTCCACGTGAACCCGAGGGACTAGAAATAGTTGACAGCTGGAAGCTTATTTCTTATTGAATCTAAAATAACCAATACAATCTCACAACATCCTGTTCTCTGTCATCAGTCTCAGGTCACTGCTGTAGAAGAGTTGAAGCATGAGGGCCATCAAGAGCTGGGGGAAAAACTGGGCCACTGCTTTCTTGTAAGAACCAACAGGCAACAATGTGCACAGGGCCTGGGATGCCTAAAGGGAAGGAAAAAGAAGTCAAGAATGGAGCATTCTGCCTCTAAACCCAGTCAGCCTTAGTGAGGGGAAAAGGGGGAACCACAACCCCTCCCCTCCAACCCCCTTAAAGAAAGCCTAAAGTGTGCATGTGTATTCATTCATTCTGTAACAGCTATTAAGTCCATTTTGAACCAGGAACTGTGCCTGGTATTCTACGGCAATGAGCTCCCAAAGCACTATCAATAATCACTTGGCTGCCAAACCAGTGGGAAACAAGGTGGTTCCCAAGGACAGAATACATTCCAATGTCCCCTTCATATGTGACCATGAAGAATAGTCCTACCAGTAACCCAGGTCCTCCCTGTGCTTGAGCAATCCAGGCCGGTGAGATATTTAAGAGGAGGCAGGCCAAGTCACTAACAATCATTTGGCCCACTAACCACAGCAACACCCACCCACCGCATCAGGGAAACACATTCCACCACCTCACATTTGTGGAGCACTACCCATTTTATTCCTACTATATGTCTGTAAGACTAGAATTTACTCCCAGGAGTGGTGATTTTACTCCCCAGGAGATATAAAATGGTGGGTACAAATTACATTTGGCCTTCATATGCCTGTAAAAGTCTATATGGTCTAGCTAATGGCTACTCTCTGACACCATTTCTGAACTTCCACCTTTGCTCCATTCTCTCCTTTTGGTTTCCTTGCAGTCACTGATGTACCAGGCAAGCTCTCATCACTATAGAACTTTTGTCCTTCTCTCTGTCTAGAACTCTCTTACCCAGATATTTGCAAGGATCATTCCTTCATTCTTGACTGATGTCACCTCAGCAGAGAGGCCTCCCCCGACCAACTTTCCTAAACCCTCCCTATCACTTTCTTTTCCCCACATCAGTTTATGTCTCTTCTCAGCTTTATATCATCTGACACATGACACATTTTTTTTGTTCATTGTCTGTGTCTTTTACCGGAATGTAAGCTTACTGATCAGGGTGTGGCATATAGTAGGTACTCAGTAAGTATGTGTTGGATGAATGAATGAATGAAAGCAGGACAGTGTCAAGAAGTATGACTGAGTCTGTGGGCAGACAGGGATTTTCATGATCAGAAAAATACCAGGACAAAGAAACACTCATGGTATTCCTTACCGCTACAGGCATCATATTAGTAGTATCAAGAGAGAAACGTCTTCTTTCCATGAAGCTATCCTGCATTTCTCCAGGCTTTCCTTTCAGTATCAGCAAGATTGTCTTCAGCACATGAGGGGCCACACTTGACTCAGAACCTGCCGCCTGCCACATCAGTATCAAAGTGCTGTGAACACAGTCCCACCCCCACCACCATAGTGAGAATCAGGTTGTTCGTTTCCTACTTAATTCCCGTCATGAATCGGGAAAAGTCTTGGGTTTACATGTTTTACAGCAAAGAAATTGCAGACAAGTCTAAACCAAATTGATATGCTCATTTCCAAACGATCCCATTAATCTCTTGTCCTTGAAAACACAGGAAGAATTTCAGTGAGATATTACAGAAAATATAGTCTGCAAGTCTGCAAGTTCATTTCCTAGCACATTTAAATATCTGTCCAGGTCAATGTCAAGAACTGATAAGCTTTCTCCATTCCATACTCTGGTCCTCCCACCTTGTGATCTTGTTTGTCCAGGAATAATAGAATATTAAAAACGTATAAAAATACAAATTAACATAAATATATCAACTTAAAAAAACAAATAAGTAGGAATATTAGGCAAAAAACTATATAAATTTAAAAATTAGAAAAGTAAGTTTAAATTGAGCTCGAAGGAGTGGGCCCTTTTGTGAAATGTCACACATCTAATTAGCGGCACTGATGTCAGTCACTGGAAGCCTGGTTTCTCAACCTCCAGTCCCCTAGCTCCTTTCTACATACCTGGCCACTCTTTAAGATTATTTTTTATTATTGCTTATCTTAAAAACTGCTATATACCTCTGTGTGGGTATATTCCTGATACCTTATCAATCCATGCTGGGTTTTGAACCCTATTTTATTGTCTCTCTGCATTTAGTTCCTAATAGGGAGGTCTGGTCCTCCAGAACACAGATATACCAGCTCTTTAGAACCCATTACTCCACTGCTCCTGCCTTCTGGGCTCAGCTTTAGAATTATGCTTAGAACCACATGGACATCAAATCTCATATGCCCTGTCTCATCCCCTTACCTCTTGATCATACCTTCTAGCTGATTAGATATTCTGTTTCTCTGATTTAGCTCAACTCCAAATCCTAGTCTTTTCTACCTCAATTCTCACCTACTATTGCACAGGATCTGCTGGTGACTATTTTAATTAAGTTTACCTAACTCTAATTATGCTTGCTTTCTGTACTTCCTCATTTCATACTGTTCGTACTGGATTCACTGGCAACTTTTATCAATGTCAGGCTATTCCCTCTCAACAAAATGTTTGAAGGCTGGTAATATATTACATACCATGGGTGCTTAATTCCTGAATGAGAAAACACTGAGTCTTATGAAGATTTTTAATTTCCAGAAATTTTCTAAGTAGTAAAATACTTTGAGTATTTGTGAGCCTCCCAAATAAATATAAGCTTTCAGTTGGGGGAAAAAAAAAGTCGTATAATTGGTTTAGCATTTTGTGGATTTTGATGCCCTTTCATAGACATTAACTCATTTAACCCATATAATTGCTGTATAGATAGAGAATTTTTCTCATCTCACAGACAAATTGAGGATCAAGGAACTTAGAAACTTGTGTGGCTGGGAAGGAATTCAGATCCATTTGTTTCCAAAGCCTGAATCCTTTCTGTAATGTAACTTCCTGCCTTTTATATGGTTAATAGTAAAGAAGTATTACCTTCTTTCTCAAGGTACAAATGATAGAAATGGAGTGATGTCATTTACTACTCTCTTCTAATGTGAGTTAGGCTCACATTGGTATTCTTTTCTCTTTAATATTTCCTGTGATCTTCGATAATGAATTTCAGATAAATAGCTAAGGAACAGCTATTTTTAATGTTTCATTATTGTTTTGGTGGGTGGAAATACCTTACATCTGTTCTTCATAAATGAGGGAAAAAAGCACTATAAATTTTATCACTTATGGGGGAAAAAACCCATCATCACTTTGAGGAGAGGTTTGTTCCTATGGGATATGCAGCAGAACACCATTTAAAGCCTCAAAGAAATAATAGTGACAATGATCATTTATCGATGGTGTTTACCGTGTGTAGGTATTGTATGAAAATATGAATAAAGTGCATGATCTTATTTAAATTTTATGATCATCCTATGTGATGCAAAAATAGATATCTTTTTTCAGAAAAAAAGAAGCCAGGCCTAATTTGCTCAGCTCTGTCAGATTCTAGAGCCTGTGAACAAACCCTTGTGGAAGGGGTGAGGGGGTCTTACTTGTCTGCTGGGACTGGGTAATCCATAAGTTGAAAGATAACCTTCTTCGGTGAAGTGCGTGTTAACAAGGTGATGACCCGCAACATAGTATGCCTCATAACATGAGAAGAATCTTGACGCAATTGCTTATAAATAGCATCCACAATCGTAGACACCTGGACAAGTAATTTAATAGGTCAACAAGAGTCTCTTGTTCCATGGCCACCTCTAAAGCAAGGCATTTCTTGGATGTAAGAATTCAGTTCTTCTCAGAATGGCCAAGGCGGCAATTAACATACAAATAAGCACTAGAGGAAAGCATATTTATGTGTGTGACTACACAATGTAAAATATCTATTGGGATGAGAAATAAGCCTATGCATTTATTGATAGTGGGAAAATACCCATTTTTTTTAAAAAAAGAAGTTTATTTGGGCAAGATAGACTTCCTTATTTAAGACATATAAGCTCGGTATAGGAAAAAAAAAAAAACATGTATAATTCAAGTCCTTTAAGAAGGAAGTCGAAATAATGGAACAGAATAACAATGGAACTGTATACTTCAAAAAACCTTTCTGACAATTAAAGAAGACTTGAATCTGCATACAGAATGGATAAACTATGTGTTGGAAGAATGGCCTAGAATGGTAAACGCTGAGTCACATAATCTTGCAAATTCTATTCATAGGCCCCATATCAGTTTTATTTTTTCCCCTTTTTATTAATTCTTGAACAAGGAGATTACTAGCTAGACCTGAAATTTGTCTCAAATTAATGGCTGTATATTCAACATCAAATTTCACCCAAGATAACTTCACTTTTTATTTTGAAACTATTCCTCAGAGATCATAAGTTGACATAATTTACATTCCACTGCAACTGTCTTATATATAGTCAGTTATCTGTGCACATCCCCCTACTTCAAGCAATAAATAAATAAACAAGCAAAGTGTTAAGAGTGCAGGACATTCTTCATACTGCATATGCTCCAAGGTGAACATGGGGGACATGAATGGGGGACACTAAACATTGCTCTTCTCAATAGACCTTTTAACTATGGGTTTAGAACTCTTCTCAACCCCTTTTCCTTTCCATGCAGCATGACCCAAAACAAGCCAGCTATGTCACTGTACACTCAAGTATAGCAATAACAATCTGCTTTAATTCTTAAGAAAAGACCTGCCATATTAGATTTATTTAGAGATTGTAAACCCACATACTATATGGGCAATTCAGGGATTTTTCAGGGATAATTTTAACCATGAACAATTTTCCATTATAACTGATTTATTTTATTTTATTTTTAAAATACTGTATTTAGTTAGTTTGAGAGAGAGAGAGTGCATGTGAGCAGGAGGAGGAGCACCGGGGGAAAGGGAGGGGAAAAGAATCTCAAGCTGACTTCACACTGAGTGAGGAGCTCTGTGCGGCTGGATCTCATGACCCCCACATCATGACCTGAGCCAAAACATATTCCTGTATGAGCTATGAAATGTGAATTGCATTATCTTGTTGAATTAAACGCTGTTATATTTACATCTCTCACTGGCATTGCACAATACAAAGATGGCAAAATTTGTGCTATTTAAATATTTAGTTTTTTTTTTAACTTAGAAAGACATTAAATAGAAAATAAAAATGCCATGACAAATTGAGAGAAAAAGAGACTGTAGAGGAAAGGAAAAAAACCTTCATATGTTTGTATATTTAATGACACCTTTTCCCTATGTTTTGAACAGGAAGCCCCACATTCATTAACACTTGGCCCCACAAATTATGTAGTCAGCCCTACAGCAAGCTGAGGGTCCTTGAAAACTTCCCCTGGTGGTTACGCAGAAGATTTCAATTATATCTGTACTATTTTACTCTTATTAATGTATTCTTTAAGAAAACTGATGAAAATGTGTCAAGATACTATGATTTGGTATGACTCGTAGGTAAACGTTCATGACATTATTTTCTAAACTTTTCTGTGTGCTTGAAATATTTCATCAAAAAAAGCCTCATCTGATTAAAGTAACATAATGCACAATAGCAAGAAATACATAGGAAAAGAAGTAGGCATATAACAAAGGCAACAGAGCCCTTTAGAGAATAAAATCTGTGTTCCTCTACTCACTGTCAAGTATCTTACCATGGTGATCTTATGCGCATGATATTCCAGAGTCAGTTTCAGCATGGTTGACGCCTTGAATGCGATTATATAATTAGGTGAAGAGAGTCTCATCAGGAGACTCCACACAAAGTCAGTCAGCAAGGATGGCAGTAGGGTGTGTCCTACACTCTGAAACCAAAAAGGAGAGCCATGACCTTACGCCTTACCTACAGGAAACATAAGAAAAACTACTGAATTCAGTCATCCTGAAGGAAGCTCCAGGGCCAGGTAGGGCCAAGAGATTTTTGCAGGCCTTAGGCATTTTTGCTGTCGTGGCTCTCTTTCTCCACTCAAAAATGTTAAAAGTCATATTTTACAAATGTATCGATATTGAGATGACTATAATTCAAGTGGAATTACATTTATTTTTTTCTTCTGATTTTTAAAGCAGTTAAAACACTTTTATCTAGATAAGTCAGCTCTGGGACCAGGCCAGGAAAAAATGAAAAACCATGGCATTACAATTAGGAGGAACTGTAAAATATTGATTTTACACCAGTTCAGCTGTTCAAATATTAGAAATTACTGTGAGATTCTTTAGCTTTGGAAATGAGTTTGCTGAGATCAGAAACAAGCATGATCAGTAGATACAGGAGGGGATGAAGTAAGAAAGGCAGGGTGATTCAAGGGTGTGGACTTTTACCCAGAGAAGGATCAAGAAGCAGGAAGAGAGAAAAAAAGGCTCATATGTCGATGATTGAGGTACAAGAACTACAATTCAAACAATCCTTTTTTTAAAGTCAGAGGAATATCCATGGACCATAAAATAAGAACAAAATTACGTGATCTCTCAGTTAAGAAAGATGAATGAGTCACATTTTCTCCCTTCATATACATAAATATATATGTATATATATTGCATATTATATTATAAACACACACACACATATGTCATTTTCCCAAGTACAGAAGGTACCTAATCTTGCCAATAAAAGCTTATCTGCCTCCCTCTTTTTTTTTTTTTTAAAGATTTTATTTATTTATTTTAGAGACAGAGCACAAGAGGTGGGAGCGGGAGAGGGAGAAGCAGGCTTCCTGCAGAGCAGGGAGCCCTATGCGGGACTCGATCCTGGGACTCCAGGATCATGACCTGAGCCGAAGGCAGTTGCTTAACCAACTGAGCCACCCAGGTGCCCCATCTGCATCCCTCTTAAAAGGATGGAGCACAGCTCTTTTTGGTCAATAGGGCAAACCTGAGGTTTGAGTGAGAATGGGTGGCCACCAGGCTCCCTCCTACTGGGCACTGGGGCGAGGGGTGGTATTCTTGGAATGCTATGGAAGAAAGCTAAAGGAGGGTCATTAAGGCTTGGTGAGGTGGACTGAGTATCACAAATAGTTTGCCCTTCTTTAAGAAAGCCAGATTTCATTATATGATTTGTTGAATTAAAAAAAAAAAACATTGAGATGGGGGAATATTCTCTTTTAACTATTTATTTGTTTGGCTCAATGTGTGTGGTTAGAAGGCCATCTGTTGGGACAGCCCAACCTAGGCTGCAGAGCTGGGTGAACTCTCAACCATATGGATAAGCCCATGTACTTTTTTTTTTTTTTAAAGATTTTATTTATTTGAGAAAGAGAGAAACAGCAAAAGAGGGAACACAAGCAGGGGGAGTGGGAGAGGGAGAAGCAGGCTTCCTGCAGAGCAGGGAGCCCTATGCGGGACTCGATCCCAGGACCCCGGGATCATGACCTGAGCCGAAGGCAGATGCTTAACGACTGAGGCACCCAGGCGCCCCAAGCCCATGTACCTTGAAGAAAATGAGGGAGTACATGGAGCCTCATGGTTTTCCCCAGGGTTGGGTCAATGTAAAAACGATTTACTTGGTACTGAGGTTTATCACTTCAATTTAAAAATTTTTTAATTTAATAGGCTTTTTAAAACAAAATCTAAAGCAGGTTATTTTGATGTTTGCTGAATGAAATATAATACTATTGAAAAGCCTGTTAACTAGTGACTCCATAAGTTTGCTAAATAACCAGAAGTTTCCCATCTTTAGTTCATATTTATTAATCAAACAAAAAGAAGTATAAAACTCTTATTTACATTCTGTAAGGATTACATAAAATAATATAAATGGCTATATTCAGGAATAATAGGCATCATTCTTATTCATAGAGGTGAAAATTGGAGAGCCAAATACTCTACACATTATTTACTCTGTGCTTCACTGAACTTTAGAAACATGGAAAACATTTATTAAAAATATAAACCGTTGAAATAAGTTGTCACTAAAAGTAATAATACACATGAAATAAAAGCCATAGAATAAAGTGGGGAGGGGGGCAAGTTACCTGGGTAATTTTAGTTTTGTCCCATTGTGAGACCTTAGGTAGGAATTCCGTATCAGAGGGACTAGGCAGGAGGCACTGATTTCCAGACTTATCATATATTGTGGATTTATTTTTTTCATTATCCGCTGTATTAAGGAAAACAGTTTAAGGTTTATATTTGATCATTAGTTCCTTCTATGACATTGCTATTTCCAATTTCTCCTTCCTACCCAATTCTGGAGATCTAAAGTATTCTGAACATTTAATTCTCTGATGATAGTTTAATCACATCAAATATTATGACAGCACTGATCCAGAGTCCATAAAGTGTTTAAGTGAGGCCTCTGTGAAATATGAATGAAAGACATAGATAATTTTCATAGGTTGAGCAGATGTTGAATACATTTAGGCCATCGCCATCAAATGCATCACTCAGTGCACTGGAAAAGTTGTTGCTGAGTTGGAGTGTTTATTGGTAGAAGAGCAGACTTGGAGGCGTTTTGCAAGGAGCTGGGGAAGTTGTATAAGCAGGAAAGCCAAAAGCTCTCAATGAAAACTTCAGATGCAGACGTCTTTAGTTCCAGAGAAGGTGAGTTTCAGTGATTTCATTTGTTTGTTAACAGCTCTATAGAGATTTAATTGACATACAGCTTATTTAAAATGTACAATTTGGTAAGTTTTTATATATGTATATACCAATGAAAACATTACTGCAGTAAAAAACAAAACAAAACAACAACCATATTCATTCCCTCCACCACACCTGCTCCCTGTGCCCACCCCTGATCCAAAGGCAGCCACAGATCTGCTTTCGGTTATCCGCCTTCTGTCAAGTTTGTATTTTCTATTTTCTAATTTTATATAAGTGGACTCATATAGCATGTACTCTTCCATTGTTTGGCATTTTTCATTCAGCAAAAGTATTTTGTGATTGATCCGAGTTGTATGTATCAATAGTTCATTCCTGTTTCACCGATGAATACTATTCCATTGTATGTATATACCATCATCTGCTAATCCATTTACCTATTGATAGACATTTGGGTTGTTTCTAGTTTTTGGCTTTTCCAAATAAAGGTGCTATCAACATTTGTGTACAAGTCTTGGTATGGATATCGGCTTTCGTTTCTCTTAGGTATATCCTAAGTTATGGAATGACTGGATCATTTGGTAGATGTGTGTTTATCTTTTCAGGATACTGCAAATTGTTTTCCAAAATTGTTGAACCATTTCACACTCTCTCTAGCAATGTGTGAGAGTTCCAGTTGCTTCACATCTTTAATAACATATGGTATGGTCAGCGTTTCAATTTTAGACATTCTAGTGGTATCTCATTGCAGTTTTTAAGTTACATGCCTTTTATGACCAAATATTGAACATCTTTTGGTGTGCATCCTTGCCATCTATGCTTCTTTGGTGAAATGTTTCAAAGAACTCAAATTCAAATTTACTATTTTTTAATTTGTCGTCTGTTTTCTTACTGAGTTTGAGTGTGCATTTTTAAATTCTGGATATAGGCCTTTTCTCAGATATGTAACTTGTACATAATCTTCTCCCAGTGTATGGTTTATCTATTCTCTTAACAGTGTCTTTCAAAGAGCAGAAATACTTACTTTTTCATTTTTAAAATTTATAGGTCATGCTCTTGGTGTCGTATTTAAGAAATCCTTGGGGCGCTTGGGTGGCTCAGTCGGTTGAGCATCCAACTCTTGATTTTGGCTCAGGTCATGACCTCAGAGTCCTGAGGTCGAGCCCTGAGATGGATTAGGGGATTAGGATTCTCTCTCTCCCTCTCCTTCTGCCCCTCCCTGCTGCCATCTCCCCAGTCCCTCCTCTTTAAAAAAAAAGAAAAAGAAAAAGAAAAAGAAAAAAGAAATCTTTGCCTAACTCAAGATACAAAGACTTCTTTTAGTTTCATAATTTTAGATTTTACATTTAGTCTTATGGGTCCATTTTGAATTAGCTTTTGCATTATGTATAAGATACAGATCAAAGTTATTTTCTTTTGCATATATATAACCAATTTTTCCAACACGATTTACTGATGTTTTCTCTTTTTTCACTGAACTTCCTTTGAACTTTTATCAAAAAGCATTTGACCAGGTGGGAGGGATGGGGTGGCTGGGTGATGGACATTGGGGAGGGTATGTACTATGGTGAGCACTGTGAATTGTGTAAGACTGATGAATCACAGACCTGTACCCCTGAAACAAATAATACATTATATGTTAATAAAAAAAATTTTTTTAAGAGCATTTGACCATACATATGTGGATCTATTTATAAATTTCTGCACCTGTGTTCTTGAGGAACTCTGGTCTGTAGTCTTTTTGTTTTTGTTTTTCTTGTAAAATCTTTATGTGCTTTTGGTATCAGAATGTTGCTGGCCTCACTGAAAGAGTTGGCAAGCATTCCCTCATTCTACATATCTGTAAGAATTTGAATAGGATTGGTATAGTTTCTTCCTTTAACTGTTTGCTAGATCATTTCAATCTGGAGTTTTCTTTATGGGTATTATATTTTCATTTTACTCAAAATACTTTCAATTTCCATTTTTATTTATTTTTTGACTCATGGGTTATTGAGAAGTGGACTACCTAGTTTCCAAATATTTTGAATTTTCCAGATATCTTTCTGGTTTTTATTTCTAATTCAATTCCATTTTGGTCAGAGAATATATTTTGTATGAAATAAAGACACTTTTCTATGGCTTGAATATGGTTTATTCTGGTAAATTTCATTTTTCCTTGAGAATGTTCATTTTTCCATTATTGGTGGAGTGTTTTATAAATGTCAATTAGGTCAAGTTCGTTCAAGTCTATATCCTTAATAATTTTCTGTGTAATTATGAATTATTGAGAGAAGGATACTGAATTCTCTGACTATAATTCTATATCTACTCCAGTTCTATTCATTTTTATTTAATGTATTGATTTTTAATTTTTATATATTTTTGATTTTAGGGACATATGTATTTAGGATTATTATGTCTTATTAATTGACACCTTTATCATTATGAAATGACCCTCTTTTTCCCTGGAAGCATTCTTTGCTCTGAAATATAAATAAATATATAAATAATTATATTTATTTATATATATGTAATAAATATATGTAAACAAATATATAAATAAATATATAAAATAAATATTTATTTATTTATTGTTACATATATATTTATATTATATTTTTTTGATATTGACTTAGCCACTCTAGTTTCCTTTTGACTAATATTACCATGTTATATATCATTTTCCAACTTTTAACTTTTATTCTATTTGTGGCTTTGCATTTAAAGTGGATTTCTCATAGGCAGCATATAGCTGAGTCTTGCTTTTTGTCCAATCTGATAATCTCTGCCTTTTAATTGGAGGTATTCAGAATATTTACAATTACTCTAGATGGCTTTCAGTCTTCACTATTTGTTTTTTACTTTTCCCACTTGTTCTATTTTTCCTCTTTTTTGTTTTTTCTTTTTCTTCTTCTTCTTCTTTTTTTTTTTTTTGAGAGAAAGCTGGGGTGGGGAGGGGCAGAGGGAGAGGGAGAGAATCTTAAGTAGACTTGGCGCTCAGGGGCTCCATTTCATGACCCTGAGATCATGACCTGAGCTGAAATCAAGAGTTGGTCGCTCAACCAACTGAGCCACCCAGGCACCCCTTTTTTGTCTTCTTTAACAGTACTTAAAACATTATATCTCCATTTTGGTTTATTATATGTAACTCTTTGCTATGTCATCTAAGAGGCTGGTTTAAGGTTTATAGTATACATCTTTAACTTTTCACAGTTTACTTTTAAGGGATATTTCATGACTCTGTGCAAGAACCTTAAACTGTAGTCATACTTCCTCTTTCAAGCCTCTGAACTATTGTCATATATTTCGCTTTTACATTGTTATTATTTTTTGCCTTTAACAAGTGATTATCATTTTATTTTATTTTTTTTTTTAAAGATTTTATTTATTTGACAGAGAGAGACACAGTGAGAGAGGGAACACAAGCAGGGGGAGTGGGGGAGGGAGAAGCAGGCTTCCCGCTGAGTAGGGAGCCCGATGTGGGGCTCGATCCCAGGACCCCGGGATCGTGACCTGAGCCGAAGCAGACGCCTAATGACTGAGCCGCCCAGGCACCCCTAACAGGTGATTATCATTTTAAAAGATTTAAATAATGAGAAGAGAATTTTAGTATTTAGCTACATAGTTGCACCCCATTACTCTTAATTCCTTTATGTAGATCTAGATTTTCACCTGGATTTTTTTTTTCTTGAAGGATTTCCTTTAATATTTCTTATAGTGCAGATAGGCTGGTGATGAATTCTGGCAGCTCTTGTATGTCTAAACATGTCTTTATTTCACTTTTGTTTTTAAAAGAATTTTTGCTGACTAAAGAATTCTAGATTGACTTTTTTTTTTTCTTTCAGTACATTGGGAGGCTGCACGATTGCCTATGGTTTTTATTATTTCTGATGAGAAACTTGCTGTCATCTTTACCTTTGTTCCTCTGAATGAAATGTCTTTTTTCCTCTGGCTCTCTCTCTCTTTTTTTTTTTTTTTTAAGATTTTATTTATTTATTTGACAGAAAGATACACAGCAAGAGAGGGAACACAAGCAGGGAGAGTGGGAGAGGGAGAAACAGGCTTCCCGCTGAGCAGGAAGCCCGGATGTGGGGCTCGATCCCAGGATCCTGGGATCTTGACCTGAGCGGAAGGCAGACGCTTAACCACTGAACCACCCAGACGCCCTCCTCTGGCTCTCTTTAAAATTACACTGTTGATCTCTGCCAGAGTGTCCTTCATCTCAGATATTGTAGTTTTCATCTCCAGAGGTTCAATTGAAGTCTTTTAGAAAGTTTTCTATATCTCTACTTAACATGCTCATCTTTTTCTCTGACTCCTTAAATAAATGGAATATATTACAATAATTGTTTTAATGTCCCTGTCTACTAATTCTATCATCTGGGTCAGTTTTGATTAATTTTTCTCCTCATTATGGGTTGTAGTCTGCTTCTTTGCATGCCTAGTAATTTTTACTGGATGTCAGACACTAAGTTTTAACTTGTTGAGTGTTGGAATTTTTGTATTCCTAGAAGTAGTCTTGAGCTTCATTCTGATGAGCATTTAAAGTATTTGGAGATTACTTGATCTTTTAAATCTTGTTTTTAAGCTTTGTTAAGTGGCACTAAAACAATTTAGTCTAGAGATAATTTTTTTCCTTCTAATGAAACAAAACACTTTGAGTACTCTACTTCATTACTTACAAATCATGAAGTTTTAAATTCTGGCTTATGGTCATAGGCACTATTCCCAGCCTTTGTGAGTTCATTGGATTTTTCTCTCTAACCATTCTTCCTGGCCTCAGGTAGTTTCCTCACATGCATGTTCTGATCACTCCATACCTGAATGGTTAAAGGGGACCCTCTGCAGGTATCTGGAGTTCTCTCTTTGTGCACTCCTCTCTGGTACTCAGACCTGTAAACCCTAGGTATCTTGACCTCTCTAGATTCCTAATTCTGTCTCTTCAACTTGGTGAGACTACTGGATTAGAGCCTAAAAACTTACTTTAGGCAATTGTAATCTCCACCTCATTTGTTCATTTGTTCCCATCTCTCAGGAATCATTGTCCTTTGATATCTGATGTTCATTGCCTTAAGAACAATTATATATATTTATATTTGTATATTTAATAGTCATGTATTATGGGAGGATAAATCTTTTCTCTGTTTAATAGTTTGCTTGGAAATAGTTTGATACTTTCAGGACTTGCTTTTATGCTTTGTTAGGCTGTCCAGAGCAGCATCTACTTTAGTCTTGGGCTAATTTTTCCCAACCACTGAAGAATCTGAGTATTCTATTTGATGCCCCATTAGAGGAGAAAAATATGCCTCCTTTTTAAAAGTCTCATTGGCAATCTTTCTTCTTCTTCCCTTCCTCCCCACAGCATTCCTGTCCCCACCATTAACACCCAACACTAAGTACAGTACTTTATAGATCTTGAAGAACCAAATATTACTAGCATATTTTGATAATTCTAAAAAGATTACAAAATATATTTTAGAAAGTGGGGCTATAGATCTTGGGGTAGGATTTAGAAATCTACAGACATAGAGCCTTCTTGGGACCCACAAGTAGAATAATTAGGGACAAATTCTTAGTATCCATTAGAAGAGATGGTAAATCATTCTTACCATTCTGACACTTTGCAATGCAGAGGAGGTGATACAGTCCTAAGGATGCTTGTTGTGTGATTAAGGGATCATTGTGGCAACACAGAAGAGACAGTTCTGCTGCCAGGACACCCAAACATGGAGCATCAACACTTGCCTGATGGAAAAACAAAGGAGTAAAAAATGTATTTGCTATGCATAGTTAACATTGAATGTCTGCATCTGATCCATATATATATGGATATATATATATAAAAGATTGTGTGTCAAATAGAGATGTACGATTTATGACATTAGCGCTTCCATTAATAAATTTATGCAGCAATTAAAAAAAAAAAGAATAACTCTGTGTGCATGTGCGTGTGCATGTGTGTGTGTTTGTGTGTGTCTGTGTGTGTGTGTAAGATTGAGAGAGAGAGAGGTGGGTCAAGCAACATAAGAGACATTGAAAAGGGGACATAAGAGACGAGAAAGAAGGAGAAGCAGGCCTTGGAATCCTCCCAGAGGGTTGACTTGGACTCTTTTACCACCAACATTTGCTCTAATCCTCAAAGAATCTATTTAATAAAAGTAATCACCTGTCTTAGAAACAAGAAGACTCACTAGTTTACCAAACCTATATGTAAACAGAATTATTTGTTTAAAAAAATGGTAATGGTACTCAAACCTTCACAAAAGCAGAATGTGTCTTCCACCTCTCTTTTCTTCTTGACAAATTAATCAAGATGAAAATCTAAATATTTGAGCAGCCTGTGTGTCAAGGAAATTGTAGGAGGAAATACATATATTGTAATAGTAGCTTTGACATCAGAAGTAAATGCCCCGAGTTTTTTTTAATTGTTTATTGTTATGTTAATCACCATACATTACATCATTAGTTTTAGATGTAGTGTTCCATGATTCATTGTTTGTGCATAACACCCAGTGCTCCATGCAGAATGTGCCCTCTTTAATACC